TAATCTCTCGCTCTGGTTTCAATAATTGCATTTCGCAGTAGCTAAAGAATTAATAATATAAAAATTCAGGTCAATCAGTCGAGGCGTTGCCTGTGTGAAATCGTTCATGAAACTTCGCAAGCTCGTTTACGAATTTCAAATTTCGTTTGATGCCGGCTACTCTTTATGGAAGTCTTCGACTCTGGCATTTATCGAATCAAACTTCCCCCGAGTGAATCTCTCCAGCGACCGTTTTCGCGGGGAAATTGATTCCGCGCGTGTGTTTACGACGTCGTCGAGCCGAGCGAAAGGATTTCTTATTTCCGTCGGATGAGATACGTTTCTTCCCTTTCTAGGGAGGTTCCGCGGTTCAAATAAACCCGATCCCATACTTTGATCGTTTCGGAACGCTACGAGGAAATTATTCGAAGGAAGTGAAACGCGATAGTTTCTCTTAAAAGAAAAATGAAAACGTAGATTGTTCATCAAATCCAGTAATAAATTTTGTCGACAAAAATCCTGAAGAGCGGTTAGTCTTCACAAACATAAAAAAAAGATCGACTTTCCCTTTCCCACCGGCTTACGAATAGGAAAAAACCGTGTGTGGGTGTGAAGAATTGTGGGTACACGTCGGAAGGCGCAGGGTCGGGTGTTTTGCCGAGGCCCTTTGGAAGCCGGGACCCGTTACGTTAAGCTTAATGCAGACGTATGAATTACTGTCACGTAGCGGGAAGGTTTTCTGAACGGGATGCGTAATTTGTACCGGTGGCTGCGGTGTCGTGAGATGAATAAATCATCCGGCACTTATCGCGGCTAAACTTTTGAACGCCCCGAGACCCCAGCCAGCCTTGCGCGGCCCGGCCCCACTACTCCGAGTCTTTCTGGTCCGAGAGGGGAGAGAAATGTGCAACCGTCGAAGACGATTTATAAGCGTCAGAACGAAATCGCGAATGGAATCCGTTGAATTATGATTTGTTTGACGCTCCGATCTCCTCGGGTGTCCTTTTTCTCTTCCTCTGTTCTATTTCTAGGTGACCACGGGAGAAAGGGAATGAATATTTATCAGTCTTTGGCTGGGATTAGTCGCGGTAATTCGTACGTGTTCTACGTATTCGGTTGGATTATACAAATTCGGGTAAAGTAGCTTCGCGGGGATTTTTCTTTGTTTCTGGGTTCCTCGTTTTGGAGAGCACTTTATTCCTTGATACCCTAAATTGAGTCAGTCGGTCTAATATACCGCAGTTAATTCTGAAACCTAGAAAATCTGCGTGTTTCTCTGCGAAATAAAACAATTCTGATGTCAATTTCTATTTAAGATTGAAAATCCAATTGTTCGTTTATGTTGAACTAAAGATTTTTATTATACAGTCTGAATTTAGTACTTTATTCCTTTGTACCCTGCATTGTCTCAGTCGGTCTAATCACAGTCGACTTTGAAACCTAGACTGTGACTTTTTGTGCAAAACATTTGTCTATTTCCATTTATGAATATGGAAAATCGGACTGTCCATTTCTTTTGAACTAAAGACTCCTATTGATTCATCACAGCAGTAGCATTTCTAAAAATAGAGAAAACTTCCAACACCAAAGAACATTGTTCTTGTTTCTTCTTGCCACAGTTTTTTACATTTTAATTAAGCCAAACAGAAATCACTACAATTTTCCTTAGCCACTGAAAACTTCCCTTGAATTGTCTCACGTCTTTCGCGTCCCATCTCTCACTGTCCCAATTTTTACCATCAGTTGATCAATTCTGTGAATAATAACAATAAAAGCCTCGACAGGCCGGTGCCGGTTCGAGTGGAAAATAGATAAACATTAACAAAAAACAGATTAACAAAAAACGGAGGATAAAAAAAAAAGAACGTTGGACCCGCGATTCCAACGACAGAAATATACGCGGCGGGTCCCTCTGTTCATTTTCATTTCGCCGACGGAACGGCTGGAAACAGAAGGCAAGTTTTTGCCCGGATACCGTATAAAACAACTTCCAGTTCTTTCCGCGGAGTTCCGCTGTATTTTAAGAGGGAAAAGCTCCGCGAGTGACTCGGCCGCCGCCACCGTGGCATCGCTGCTACCCCCTGTACATTTAGACGCGCTTTCTACCACCGCTGTTGCAATTAGTACGTCCGCGCTCAGTTGAATTGTTTATATAATTAAATTGGCCGACGTACTGGTTTTGATCCTCCCTTCGCTGCTCAGAACAACTAATTTTAATTGCGTTACAACGGTTTCCAACGGTGAACTCTGTTCTCATTTTCGTAAAATTGTTATCGGTTATTATTTACAAAAGTGTGTACGCGTAAAATAATTTAATTAACGTAGTTATTAATCAGGATAAGAATTTTCTGAATTAATTCTCTGAGAAACTTGAAATTATTGGAAAATGTTCGATCAAAGACTCTTCATAATTAATTCCTTATCAGCCTCTAATCTCGTTGCCGTCAGGCGTAAACCACCGATTAGTGACTTAATGTATTCCGTTAAATAACTCCTTAATAAATGTCTAGTAAATATTTTATCCTCCTGATACGAACGCTAGCGAAGTATCCACGTTTTCCGTGAGCAACGTGAAATATAACCTAACCACTCTACGGGGGCGATTGCATTATGTTTGGTCTACGTCCCGAATACAATTTGCTCGGGACTGAGAGCTCAGAGATTTTTCAAACGAAATATTCAATCGGCACGGAACGTGTCGCGTTTAAAAAGGCACGTGATTTGCTCGAACCGCTGGGAACCTATAAGACATTTTAAATTTGAACAATTCCCATTTCCATTTTACACTCAGATCCAATTTCTCCTATGTTTGTTTAGCTGTCGAATTATTCAGCCAAAAGAAAAATCGGATAATAACAATTAGGAATGGTGGGGAAGATTAATGAATATTTTAAAATGAATATTCAATTTTCTTATTGCTTTTTGGATATTTAAATTCTCTCTTCTTCACATAAACTAAACAAACCTAACTAGTGATTTTTTTAAGGAAACAGCGTAACAAATATTTGACTTTCGGATTGAAAAATATCCTAAAAAAAATTATTATTCCCCTGCGATTTGGAGACCGTCAAGCAATTTCTATAGAATTCATTTCTTCTTGTTGCTTTTCGGATGTTTAAATTCTCTCTCCTCCACCTAAACTAAGCAAGCCTAACCAGCGACTTTTTTAAGGAATCAGCGTAACAAATTTCTGACTTTGGGATTAAAAAATATCCTAGAAAAATGATTATTCCCCTGCGATTTCGCGACCGTCAAGCAATTTCTATAGAATTCACTTTTCCTCGTTTCTCGTTTGTCCTTTATCAAACCGAGTAAAAAGAGTATGAATACCTCGTCGACCGGGACACCGTGAGTCATGCTATTTTTATTCAAAGCGATGTATAAAACCACCGACTGAGTCGTGGAAAATAAAACAGTGGATTGTAAAAGTCGATAAATATTAGCGGAATTAGCAAGGAAGACATATTTCAACGGGTTAGAGATTCATGCGTATTTTTTCTCCGGCTCATAGAAATGCGATACGAGCCACCAGGGAGCCATACGGCCAGTTTAAGAAGAATCGTTTTAAACTTTCTCATATTTTTCGGCCGCGCCATCCATCAGCCTTGCTCACGCCAAAGATTTCGCAGCTCCCATATTTATTATCGAAATCTCAAATAAATATTTCGTTGTATTTTCCCTGTCAGCTGAACTTTTTTCCCTGCCGCCTTCCTTCCATTTTAGCCGTTCCATTTTCGCGGCCCGCCGGTGTGAGGCGTGAAACAAGCTGGAAAACCGTAATATCCATAATTTACTTGAAAATTAAAAGTGAGGCGGAGCGAAGAAGCCATCAGGCGGCGGACGTCTCTTTTAAAATTCCATTCGCCGTCTCCTCGTACACCTCGCTACGGTCGATTTACGTCGACGAGCCACCCCGAAAATTCGCTACGATTAAACGGAACGCTCCTGCTCATCGATATTTCTTTCCACCAATTCGTAAAAAATAAACGAACTGCCAAAAGCATTCAAAATTTTGTCAAGAAGTTTTAAAAAAAAACAGGCCCCCTAATTCTTTTCGTAAAATAGTAAGAGTAGTCGTTGAGTAAAACGGGAATTGTTCAAGTTTAAAATGTCTTATAGGCTTGAACCAATAAAAGTTTGAAGCAAATAAAGTTGGTAAATCGAACCGATTAGAACGTCGCCGTTGGCGATTCGAAAGTTAACCCAATTGGAACGCAATCGAACGGCACGCGATTCTACGGCGACACACGGACGTAGAGTCTTACGCGCTTACGATTACGAGTGACCGATAAGCCTCGTACACCCGTGCCTTACAACACAGCTAGAATCGATTGTGCCTGGTTGTTTATGCGAGTGCTCGGTTACGTTAACCACGCCGATACCGCTGTTTATAGCGCAAAACCGTTTCGTGCGGTCGCAATAACGTGCCGTTCCTTTGTTGGGCGTTAAGTCGCGTGAAGCTCCGACCAAAGTGGTTGAGAAACACGTCAGGCAGATCTTAGAACTCCTTAAGTATTTTTCATGGCAACGCTGAACGTATTTCCGTACCGTGACGCTGTTGCGTATCATTATGAACGGGCTAATGTTACAGTGGACGATACAAGGATCTGTCACAAGGTTGGACCACTTATTATCAGTCCTAGTCTAATCAGAAAGGTATAAGTTAAGGTCGGACACTGTCTGGACCGGGCCATGTACAAACGACTCATTGGATTCGAGACTCCCTTCGCACGCGCACATAAAAAATATGACACGTCTTCTTTCTCTATCTTTACTGCTTTCCATCCGTCTCTGCTCGTTGAACCTATGTATTTTCTATGTGTACGTGAATACCAGTGGGCCTGGAATCCCTCGAGTCACCCGCATGTCGAATGCGGGTTGAGATTTCACGGTTGCGCACGCATCATCCCTTCCCTCTGGAGTAGCGTAAATACAGAGGGTAGGAAGGGCGCTTCTTTCTTTTTGCTCGTCGCGAAATGTAGATGTCGCTGCTACTGGCATCGAAACTCGCCCCGTAACACCGACCCGCGTCACCCCCTGCACCGCCGCTCGCCGGGCGCGTGCTCAACACCCCCGGCCACCCTTACTACCACCACCCGGCCACCCACTGTCGTCGTCTATTTTCATTCAGCCCCTTCACCCCCGGTTCGACCGCCTCTGGCGCAGAAATTGAACCACGGGCTACGTGGTGCACGAGAACAGGGTCTTTGCTCCCGTTTAATATTTCAACCAGTCCATTGGCTGCCTTGAGCATCGACATGCGCGCCTCGCCTTCGACTATCGTCCTCGACCTCGCCGACTTGCTTACGTCAAAGGCTGACTACCAAACTCGCTGCGATGGTAATCTACTTAGTCATCGGAAGACGATTTTTACGAATGAACAGTTTCAACCCCTCTTCCTGGTATCGACGCTTAATATCGAAAGTGACACGGGGTAGATCACGGTATCTCCTTTTCCATATTTACCCAGTACATTGTATCGGATCGAGCTTCTGGCTTCGAGAGATATCGGTTGAGAACCGAGAAACGCGCTTTCATTCTTCCTAATGTCTTCGCCATTTAGATGGAGAACCGCGAACAACTGAATCCGCTCAATTCGAAGCTTTCACGTGGTTTCAGGTCAATGGCATGATCGAACTTACGAATTCTGCTCGGCGAAGTTTATTCTTAATAGGGGAACACTTGGAAACTGGTTTAAATAACATAATTTTATGTTGTATTCAGGATCCGTGTGGAAATGAGCTACCGTAATCACGATGTAACTTTATATTTCCAAGTGCGGACTGTACAATTGCGAGGAATTCAAGCCAACAGTGGTTGTCTCGCAGTCAAAATCTGCTTCATTTGGCGAATCGTGGGTATGTGTCTTCATGATTGGGGGAGAATGTGACTCCGAGCTTTGTGACTCGGGGCTGAATTTGAACCTTATAGCTATCTTAGTGACTTGTTTTCGAACTTAAAAATGATTTCTTAAAACTGGATATAACTAAAGACAGCCAATATTGTAATTATTTCATTTATCCAGATTAGTCATCCAACAATTTATACAATTGGAAGATTTCATCTTCTTGTGTCATTTCTTCTCAGTTTTATCGATATTATCGATACCAACGAATCGTGAAGTGTTTTGACTGTACCGGTGCGTTACACGGGGAATAACATAATTCCGCGGCGAGCCATCGACTAAGCAACACTTCAGAAATTTTCGAACGAAGGAAACTTCGCTACCCAGTGAAATATTTCTCTCATTTGTATCAGCAGTGCGAAGTGCTTCACATGACGATTTCAACCCCAGCCACCCATTTTCCTTTATTGTCTACCTCTCTCACTTTTCATTCCATGCCGTCTACTTCAAAGCGCACAGAAATTCTCTTGATAATTTCGTTTTTTTTTTTTTTGGAGGGGGAGAAAGAGAGAGCTTTTTCGTTGAATATTAAAGTTATGCTACCGGAATTAAGAATAGTTAAAAGCAAACAAATCTGTAATCGAGATTTATGTAAAACAATGAATTTGTTTATGCATTTCCACTTCCATTTCTTTTAATTGTAATTGTCCAGTGCTTTTGATATCGGGTTAACAATACAAAAAGTTAGTTTTACGATACTTCTATACGTACCAACATATTTATTTAATTTGACGATTTTAAATTGAACTATTAAGGAATATAATAATGAATCGTCAAAGAAATTGCATCGCCAGTGAGATTTATCGAGGTAGACAGTCGGGACAGGGAATCGTGGACTGAACAAGAAGGCAGGGACAGAAGAAAAATGGATGGACACGAGTGGACTATATTTTCGCGGACCTTTGTTTCCGTAGAAAAACGAGTTTGAAGTTCGATCGATCACGGATCGTGTTTCATTCCGAATTACCGTTCTTCGAATTCGCGTATTTACGCGTGTTTCCTGGCGGACGGGGAGGGTGTGGGTGGCAAAAGGGAAGCCACGATGGAGCGCAGGAAAAACAAGCCTCGTAACTCCGGTTGTTAATTCCCGTGGATAGAGTCGTTTTGTTTCCCGGAAAACGAACTGGTATGAAATGCATGTGGCTACATAAATTAAATAAATTAACGAACCGATTGGTAGGATTGGCAATTAAGTATTAATTAAGCCACAGATTTATAAATTTAATAGTCACCTTGCATCACAACCTGTCGTTATAACGAGACGTACGGTATTTTAATTAAAGAATCAATTCATCGAAGGAAGAAATCATAGAGGAAATTAAATAGTCTTATACTATATTATAGGTGAATAATATTGGAGAATCGATAGGAGTATTGAAATTTTCATGAGGATTAAATATACTAAAGGCATCCGAATGGTATGTGTGCAGATGTTTATACATGTAGTAAGTTTGACCTGTCATTCATGGAAACGGCTGGCACATTATTACTGTGGCTGATTTATGAGAATATGATTGATTCAATGCCAGTCTTATCGGTCTATGAAACCAATAAGACGTTTGATCATCTACGAGTCACATTACATGGACGAATTTCATAAATAATATTAAGAAGAAAACTAGAGGAATTGTATTAAAAATTAAAATACAATAAAAGTTCCTTAATGATGGAAACCGTTTTAGAAACTGGGTTTGCGTAAATATGCATATAAAATACAATTCAAGATGCATTGAAAAGTGCAAAATATATCACTTAAAAAATTTACTTTGCTCGAAACATTACTTATGAAACCATGAGAACCTTTCGCGCAGCAAATAGAATCCCTTAAAAATAGATTTTGCATATTACAGTACCAGGATGTAAAACGTATTATTTAAAAGAATCGAGCGATTTTAAATTGTAAGCACCTTTCGCATAGGAAATAAACTTAATTATTAACGCGGATCGACGACCCGTAGGTAAGTAATCCTATCGTGTGATCAAACAAATCTACTTAGGTACCTCATTGTATGCACGTCCACTCGATGAACTCGTCAGTTTCTTGACAAGCGTTTCAGGATTATACCGCGGTATCGATTCCATACCAAGAGAAACATTTTACCCGGCGCGGAGTCTTTACCTACGTCTATGTAAGTAAGTAGATAACGCGGAGCCAGTGATCCATTTCAAAAAGCCGCTCCTCGATGACGGCAAACACACTCGATGATAAAAGAAGAAGAGGTTTACGCCGGTGACAAACTGCAAGGGGGAGGAAAAGATGTAGGCGAAAGAAGCTCTTTAAACAAGGTTCAGATGTCTGTATCGCATCTTCAAATAAAATTTATCACTGCCCTTTGTTTTGTCAGGCATTCTTCTTCAGAGGCTTCCTAACCAGTTCAACTCGATTTTACACTGATACAATTTTTATGAAGTCTACAGGTACTCCAGTTGTGTGTATTTAATGTTAAGGGGCTAGGGTAGTCACTCGAATTTTCTAACTTCAAATGTTACATTTTCACACTGTTACATTGTTACATTGTTACATTATTACATTATTACATTGTTACATTATTACATTGTTCAATCTGCATGACCACTATAATTTCTTTATAAGCAAGTTGCAGAAGCTATTGAAAATTTTCGAGAGGCCACCGATAACGCAATGTAATTAACTGAAAGCGTTACCGGGGTATTCAATAATGCGATATATCAACGCCTGTGATTGGCAACTGCGGTTACCTCGTATACCTCGCTAATACAGAGATAAGCAGCAATCAACGTATACACGTAGAATAAACCGACGTCCTTGAAGTGACCTTGAGGCACTCCAGGGTACATATAATTTAAAGAAAAACAATAATAATTATTAGAATATCAATTATTAAAATATAAACCACGAGCCACTCTAAGAAAATTCACTTGTACCAAACCTTTTATTAGAACATCGTCGATTTCTAACATCGTCGTTAAATACTTTGTTTAGCACCCTTGCGAACGACTTCATTGATTCTAACAAAATAATTCATTTTTAATCCTTTCACCAATTAATTAATTGTTCAACAGTCCCAGACGCTGAATCCCGTTCTGATTCGTTTTGTACCTATGATTTGAAACAGTCATAAGATAAAAACAATCGGATTGTTTCTATTGCACCTTTATATGCAGTCGCCGCTGATAATCGTATTGGAAGAGGGTAAATCGAATTGGTCGCTTTGATCGGGCACAGGCACGCCTTTGCGCGGCGAGGCAACTTCGGAAAAGTCAAAGGGCACGGTGATACCGCTTCGCAAAGAGAAGCCATTCAACGACCGCAAATTGTACCGTACAAGTACCTAACCGTAGAGAGGGGCATCCTCCACAATGTGCGGAAACCGTGGCTGATATATCGACGGGATAAACTGAGGATATTAAATTCTATACTAGGAAACTTCTTGAAAGACAGCTGTCATCGAGGAAAACACATGTATCTCAGTTATCTATTTATTTAGCAGTTACATAAATCAATTATGTTACAGCAACAAATAACAAAATGTTCCACTGCTGTTCGAACTCCGATAAAACTGTAAACCACAGTCGTAAACTTATTTCATATGCTGTGCTCATTAATAAGAAAAGCTCTCCAGTATAAAAAGTGGAACGAACATTAAAATGGAAACAACGAGATAATCGGTGTGTACTTGCTCAAACAATTTTTCTTATCGATCCCCATGACCCATTGTTCTATACATTGCTTAGTTATTAATGTCCACGCCACAGGACGGCCGAAATTGTCGTTTCGAGGAGGCCGGCAGCGCAAAGAGCGAGAGGGTGGATAGGTATTATTTGAATTCAGTTCGACCAGATTATTCGGTTTGATTAATCAACAAATACAACAGAACGCGAGACACATAAACGACGGGGCGCGACGGTGTGTCTCAAAAGATAGCCCCGGTACCGCTACTGTGCCGTGGCGTAGAAGTTATGTGGCGCTGGGATAGCGATGAGTTATTGCTGTCGCGTTACCGCGGCTTGTTGCCCCATTGTTTCTATTATTACATACGTCAAACGCGCGAATGAATTATGCGCGGTGGTAAATGTACAAGTTGATTCCGCGCGCCGCTGGCTAACGATCCTCCCTCTGCGTTATTATCGATCAAAGATACCGGGGATTCAACTTCCAACCCGCAAAAAAGTCCCGTCGACTGTATCTGGATAATGGAATTATTCAAGGGAATCGTAGGGATGTAGAGAGACGAGGTTAGATTAAGTTAGGGTAGGTTAGGCTAGGTTTGCAGAGACGGGAATATTGTAATTTAAAATATGGAGTTCCGAGGGTGGAAGGCGATAGCGAATACCAGGCTCGCCGATAGTGAATAACCAGGGCGAGCTTAACAAACCAAGATGATTTTTAAAAAGATGGTTAAGTTAGGTTCAAGAGTAAAAATAATGGCAGTGGAATTACTTGATAGTTTCTTAACGTGTGGATTGGAGGCAAGCTATTCGTTCTGTACGAATGATCAGATATCGATTCTATTAATGATCCTGGAGACGAGAAGAAGTTGTTCAGGATTGAAACAATAATTGTAGAAATTGCTATCCGTTTTCGTCGAGGGAATGAGCGGGGGATGGGGGTGAGAATGATTGGTGTGGACGCGGATACACGTGTTATCGATCCCGGGTTAAATTTAGATCCAAATTAAGCCACCTTTAAGCAATGTTACAGTTCAACATGAATTCAGTCTTAAATCATCAATTATTTTATTATGTACAATCACAAGTAACAGCGAGTGAATTCACATTAAAGAGCTAGAGCTCTGTTAAACAGAATTCATAACAATACTTGCCATAATAAGGGTTGTAACAATTACCCCAGAATTCGTGATGAATGTATATTAAATGCAAGCATATGGTTCGGTAAACGAGCACAAAAAGATTTGAAACTCCGTTCGTAACAGGTAGGAAGGGAACATTTGATTACGATTGCCACGGCGCTACTTACTTATTTTTACTTCGCCCACGGTCTAGTCTACTACCCGTAATAAGTCGCGGCGATTTGTACCTTTTTTATCGGACGCGTTTGTACGGTTGGTTAATTACGCTGTTAACGGCTACGTGGCATGGCGCCGCGGCGTTACTTCGACGCGCTCGAGTTAATTGGACGATAATACACTTTCCGCAATCTGCTCCGTCGCCATTCGGTCTGCGTCTGAAACATTCACGCACCAATTTATGAGCTGCGACGGTGTACAGGGAACGAAATAATTTCCCGAATCTACGATGAATCCTCTAGGACTAATTTCTGTCAAGTATGATTAATAGACCCCAGGTTTTTATTATAATTGCTCTTAAGTGGAAACGCGCTAAGTAATGCGTTGACGTTAAAGACTTGTTTCGGCCCATTGCGTCCGTTCGGTGGCTGGCCGCCTGAGACTGACGTACCAGCGGCATATTCCTTCGACACAATCCTAATTACTTGATTGTACACTAATTGCATTATTTGTACAAAGTAATTTCAAAGTTACTAGCCATGTTAGGTGACCTGTATATAAGCATGGGCATGGCTTTGTTAAAAATATAAAGAACAGTCTCATGGAAAGTTTTGTAATTGTAAGAAGGCGAATCCCATTGTCGGGAGCCGTCGGGTATAAATGCGAGAGAGAAGATTCCCGAGAAATCGGTTTCAAGAAAGACGTCGACATCGCGTCGGCTCTTTTTTAAACTACTCGTACCTTGTACTGGTTGCGTTAATTTTTTTGCGCCCCTCCTAGCAATCTCTTTGACGATGGTTCAACTGCTTTTAATTACGCGCGTTTACGTTGATTTTTTACAGCTCTTTCAAGATTTATTTAACAACGATTCGAGTTCAGATTCTGTAACGATCCTCCCTGAATCATTCCTGTACGTTCAGAGTAAATGTTTCGTTCGTGCGTTTCGTTACGGTTCTACTTTGTCAGTTTTTGTTTCACGAATTAATAATGTATAGGTCCTTTTTAAAAGTCCCTCAAAGGAATTTAAACGAGGAGAACGGAAAGAGTGAATGATAAACGTAGCTGTATTAAAGTCCGTTGAAAATTCGGTACCTCGGGCTTCAACAGTTTGTTGATACAGTTGATTCTGCTGGCAAGGATCTCCAACTCCAGACGTTCCTTGCAGAGCTGTCAAAACATACACTTGAATTCGAGAACGTTGGCTAAGTTATCGCGGAAACAACGGAAAACCTTATCGCGCAGAACGTAACCCACCATTTTCATCGTCTTTTTCTGGAACACGTCGGTCTGCCGCAGCTGGGAAAATCAGAAAGCAATTTATCGTTTACAAAGCCGCGATAATCGAGCGCGAGCGAGCGAGAGGGTATCCCGGGCCATCCGAAGGCAAAACAACGAAATGCACTTTTCGCTGCAGCGTTGCTCGCTTACCGCAGTTCGGAGGAATAAACTTACGTGCTTATGAATGCAATTGTACACCGGCCTGATGTCTGCCACGCTTTTCTTCCGCGGAATTTTCTGTAAAATTCAACGTAATTAGTGCTATCTCCCTCCTCGCGGTCGGGATTGTCAACAAATATCTGTGATACTCGACGTTATGCATTGAGACTGGCCCCGTAAAACGTTCACGTTGTAATGTGAGAGACGTTGGACGAAAATATGAGCTGCTACCAGCTTCATTAACGCACGTTTCGTATATCGTGGCAATGCTATGAACGAGGGTGCATGTAACAATGACACGCAACGAGAACATGATACAAGTTACGTCCAGTACTGTGAGACCAATACTTTAAAGTGCATTAGAATACACTATAAGGTGTTTAAAAACGACTTATTGTGCTATACCTTGTCTGCCTCTTTCTGTAATTCCTGAAAATCGTTCAGACATCGAACGACAGCGTTTGCACTCTGAAACCGTCGGGACATGAAAATAAATTGTAGACGTAACGATTTCAAAGATTATTCCACAATGTTACACCGCACTAATTTAGAAATGTAGAATCAAATATTTTTCTCGTTTTAAAGTTGGTACAGACGAATTTTTGAACTCGATTTCCCAGGGAACAAGACTGACGAGCTAACAAATTATATTCTACACTTTTTTTTGCTACCCTCTATATGAAAAATGTGATTTGAACTCACCAGAAACGACCACGTGAAGAAAATTAATAACATGAGTCAGAGATCAAGATTGACGAGCTAACAAATTATATTCTACATTGTTTTTATTACGTGAAAAGAATGTGATTTGAACTCACTAAAAATGAGCACGTGAAGACAATTAATAACATGAGCCAGGTTAAGAACGTAACGACACCGCACTGCGTACCCAAATTAAATACGTGCCTTAGTTTAGCATCCGTCAATAGAAATTGGTAAACCTAGAACGAGATATATTTCTACATATACAAAGGAGGAACAGTTCTACTTTCTTCTGTTAGTTTTTGGACTGAGTACACGAACGCAGCTTTGTCTTGCGAAGTAATTAGCTACAATGGATAGGAACTAGAGTAAAACGTTCTACTTTGACTTTGAAATAATAAAGACAGATAAGGAAGAGACGACTTTGGGATGTAAATGTAGCTTCGTATAAATAAAGGTTTCACTGTCGCTAGTGAAAACCAACAAAAGCTTCACTTTTTATTCGAATATATTTTTGACGAACCAGCCACCCTGGGCCTGAATTGTATCCCCTGTAATATTTGTGGATTCTTGCATTCTCCATAACGTTGGCTTTTGGGATGGTCGGTAATTCGCAGTGTTTATCAAGGACATCACGTGAATTTGGACGGGGCGAGTCGGGAGAAAACTGACAGCCTTAATCGTTTGACATTTTGACATACCCCCTTCTCCTACGTTCACAATAAATGTATCTACACAGGGTGTTTAAAATAAAATATCTAAGACCTTAAGAGCCGGGTCAGTCTTTTATACTGACCGTCATAAAGTCTGGTGCGTCGCTTGAAAGAGGGTCTTTTGATCTCAATCGATCGATCGATCATCGATATACGATTCGGTTCGGCTTTCCAACCACATTCGCTGATTGTACGTAGGACCTACATAAGAGACTGCATTAAGCCGAAGGCACGTGGTAGCGTCGTCGGAAATGGAATTTCACGGCTATTTGGCAGGGTGTCGCGTAGGATTCTGTATGTCCGAATGATGGAGCTCAGATACATCTAAGGGTGGCGTAGGGAAGGTGTCGCGTTCTGGGAATACGACCGCGCATCCGTGTAAAAGACGTCGCGTCGCCTGTAAATTGTGACGTAAATTGAAAATGTTTCGAAAGGCTTTTCGAGCGAAATATTTTCATCAAGAGCATCGCGAGTGAGACGAGACGGCGCGAAGTTGGGGAGACGTTGCTTCACGGTATTTCCGCGAGGTAAGCTTGAAGGGTCCGCGAGCCCTCGACACTGAATTTCGCTCTTTTGTCTACGTCGCATCTCGCGTCTTGCGCCTTATCTTAGATCGATATACACTGAATGAAGGTGCCGTTGCTTCTGTACCGGACGCCTGGTAGGTGAAGCGTGCGTAAAAGGTTTACGATGAACGCTCAAGTGGCAAAGTGTGATCTAAGAACTACACATAAGCTTTTTTAAAGATTACAGACCCTACTGTGAATTTATTTCAGTAACTAATATTCCTATATGTATGTGGTTAGAATCCATTAATCACTGTACATTCATTAAGTTCATTCTAAACCTCCAAAAGACTAAAAGCACAATTAAACGGCGTACGATCCTTATTGTACAGACGGTTAGGAACAGTCTTTGTAGAACTAACATTCTTTCAGGGAATTACTTAACGTCCGTAATTAAGGGGTACACGTGTCCTCATCTTTTTTGTGAATAAAGGCAGTAGTACCTATGTCGACTGCGTTACTTTCCGTATACCTGGCTATGTACATTACGACGTTATCATAATGCCTTAAGTCCCTTTAGTAATAAAGCAGAGCGTAAAGACACATGTGCGCTTTCGCATAATTTAAAACAGCCCCACTCTTTTATATCTTAGCTTTCGTAATGCGTACAGGAAATAAAATCGTACAGGCATTAAAAGACAGAGAATCAATTTAGTTGTATAATAATTGTAAAACGTTGCACTTCTATTACAAAGAATTAAAAAATAAATGAAATTCTTAATTCAACAAGATTAATAAATGAAAAAAAATGGATATTTTAATTACCTCGTTTATGTATACTATAGAATGTCGAAGCTCGTCGTGGATAAAATATATAATGATGATTGATAAAAATATTAATGTAGAGAAGTGAATCAGAACTCATCACACAAATCAATGATTAATAAGAAGATTAATAATATAGAGAAGAGCAAGTGAATCGAAGCATTGGGTCTTTTCGCGTTGCACTGGCATTGACAGCTCTTTTTATTTATGGCCTCACGAGCACGGCTTTCAATTGCGAACGACGACGAGCCGGACTTCCGACACCGCTATCCCGATTCCGAACAACCGTGAAACTCTGTTTCCGGCGCATGCTAACGTTTTCACCTCGTCGCGTCTCGCCGCGTACCGAAAATATTTAAAACTTGCCACCGTATAACCACGTACAATCGAAAGTAAGGATTCACTCTATCGTCCAATGATCTTTCACTTTTTTCTATAGATATCAATACTTTTAGTCTGAATCTTTTTTTCACCAAGAGATTGATTTACAATGTGGTATACGTGGGAAAATCATTCTAGTTTATGTTGAATAAAAATTCATACAGTTCGCAAACTTAAAGGTGTGAAATGCCTTGAAATACAATTTCCCACATCATGTCAAATCAAACGTCTCGAGGCTACTGAAAAAAATCCGACAGCCTTAAAAATTCCGATTTCGTTGATAAAAATAGTTAATTCAGGCTCGGAGGGGTCGGAGATGGATCTCGCGACTTGATGCTTTTTCGAGACGAGCAAAAGTGAGATTTTTGCGGCCGCTCGGCGTGGCGCGCGGCGTCGAGATGGCTATGCTAGGATCGTCGAGCGTCCGTCAAAATTCCGAATATTCAGCGTCGCCGTCGTGTAGGGCCCTTCTGGCGCATACCGCCGGGCCTCGAGTGCGGCTCGCACAAAAAATATGTGTAATTAAAACTCGACGCTCCAGGGGATGCACCGGGGAACCGGCCGGGATAAGGGCGAACAGGGGGAGAAAGCGATATAGAGAGATCCACCGCACGTCCGACGACAAGCGTCGCGCCACTACCGAAAGGTTAGAGCACGGAATAATCAGCACGGGCTCTCGAGGACCTCACCACGATAACGCTTTCCTCGCGTCGAGACGAAACTGTCTACCGTTCCTCCGCTCTTCACGCCGGAAGTAACGCTACGAAAAATATTTTTACTCATTTAGGTTCTTACACAGAAATATAATAATCAAACACTTTCAAAATTCATTCTATTGATTTAACTATTAGAATTTTATCTTTAATTCTCACTTTGCTTTGTTGCTGCATATATATGAAATGAATTTTGGGAATAAATTATGTCCTTTTCACGTCGCGACAACGTATACTCCTCAGAAGATACAAAACGTTTGGAATCAAGTATTAATAAAAACGATTGACAAAATGTGTGACAAGCGGCTGTGCGCTTGTGAGAAGAAACTGATGCCAGGTTTCATGAGTCCTGACGACGAACGCGTGAAGGCTATTGAAAATGCTTACGCAGACTTCGCAGACGTCGAGAGTAATTCGTTGTTGAAGAAACATTTAACGCGGCAGCTGTTCGATACGCTAAAGGTACGAGTGACGAACGCGAACTCTACTTTGATGGACGTAGTACAGTCGGGGTTCAAGAACCCGGACTCGAACGTTGGTGTGTATGCCCCTGATCAACACGCGTACGACGTGTTCGCTGGACTGTTTGATGCCATCATCGAGGAATACCATATGAATTTCACGTCCAGCGACGTACATCCGGATTTAGACTGGGGTGGGTTTCATTCGAGGAATCATTTCATCAGATATCAAACTGAATAATTTGTTTCAACAGATATTTTATTTATTTATTCATTTATTCAACGAAGTATCATAATTTGCACCTTGGAGAGTACATAAATTTATATTACTTCTTCGAACAATCTTTGTATTTTTTTTGATCGATTCTGAGATTCTATAGAATGGTTAAATTACTGATGAAGGTACATTATGTATGTACGTGTGGCCAGGTTCGGCTGAGGAGTTGGGCGATTTGGATCCCGACGGGGAATTCGTGATCTCGACTAGGATCCGTTGTGCTAGATCGGTCAACGGATATCCGTTAAATCCTACGATGACCGAGACTCACTATAAGGAGTTGGAGCGAAAGGTACGCTCGAATTCAAGTGTCTATTGTGATACCGACGAGGGATCCGCGGATTTTGACGGTGGCTAGATCAACGTTGAAAGGAACACCGTTGAGCCTTCCAATTCTTGTTTTGTATAGGTTGTATTTAAGGGGGATTTTCTAGAGGATTTCTCAAGGCATTAAGAATAAAGGATACGAATAAGAATGATGATTCTCCTTTCTGGGAATGAAATTGTTAATAGTATTTCGAATAGAGTATTCGGAATTAAATGCAAAAAGTTATTCCCTCGTAGGAAAAATATTTAGAAAGTAAAATGACATTATGAGGGCTTCGTGTGGTACTATTTCCAAAGATTAAACTTCGGAGCCAATACCAAGGTCTGGTTCATACAGGATCGTTCGAAGACCATTGAAAGAATAATACAATTTAAGATTAAAAAATTCTTATTGTAGTTCTCTACTTGGTACCGTTTCCAAGGATTGGACTTGGGAACTCTACCAACCCAGGTCTCACCGCTCAGAGACCCAATGAACAATCCCCAACGTTTTGCTTTATTCTTGGCAGGTCCAGGAGGCTTTGGACGGTTTAGATGAGGACCTGAAGGGGACTTATTACAGTCTGGTCGCGATGGACAAAGAGACACAGCAACAACTGATAGACGATCACTTTCTGTTTAAAGAGGGCGATCGATTCTTAGAAGCTGCCAACTCGAATAGGTTCTGGCCAATGGGTGAGTAATGATTTCTTCTCACGAGTCACTCAGTGTCCGCATCTCGGCCTCTCAAACTTTAACAGATCGATCGTGCGATACCTTTTAAAACTGTTTGAAATTTCCATGGAATTTATCATCCCCCCAACTTCGAATCTTGTTGCGGCGATTCCTCGGCTCTCCTAGATAGTCAGGCGTCTCGACAGGGATTAATGGGCCCGATCAAGTTGGAAATTCTCATTTTATTTTATCCACAGCCAGCTGCTCCCGGGTATCGTTAATTAGATAATAACCCGCTACAAATTTCGCGCGTTTTATCACTTTTCCAATCTCCTCTATTCGTTTCGAATTCCTCGGTTCGAAAAATACTTGTTGACTTATTGATTGATGTCACTCTGTGGATGCTGGCGCGTAGGTGCTACGGAACTACACGTATCTATATGCATACCGAGAGGAGAGTACGTCCGCGAAAGTGATGTGTGTACTTCAGGAATGAGCTATGTGCCTATTCTAGTATCTCGAGAGAGTTCGGAGCTGACGTGTTCGTTTAGAATCTACGAGAGGCTGCATGAAAATGTATTATATTATCATGTGTATACATGCGTGATCTATTTAAATAGATGATTCTTCAAGTAGTCCTTGCGATTTTCCTCGAACTGTTCCACGTTGTTGTGTCAAGGTGAAAAAATGTCGTACTTCATAAAAATTTCACATAGTCAAATAATATCCCATCTTGATAAATTATAGCAGAATTGAAGCATTGATGAATTTTTAAGAAGAGTTGTTAAACGTGGAATAATTTGTAACGTCCACTTAAAATTCACGAACTGCAGAAAATACGAACCACAGGGATTTACTATGTGTGTATCTCTAAGAATAGTTAGAATTGCCATTTGCACTTGAAAATTGCCTGTTATCCATGTTACAATCAGCGAATCGATTTACCTCCGCGAACCCCAGCGGCACTCACGTTCCCCCGAGTTTAAGGATCGTCGCACTTCGCATAAAACATTCAATTACAATGCCGGAAGTTCGTTCAGCTCGTTTGAAAACATTAATCCACAGTAAGCTGAACGCTCGGAATTGGGTGGTTCAAGTTTAAACGAAGATTAACCCGAAAGTTTCTGGGATTAGAGACCGAGCCCCGACGTGACGCGATGCGATGGACAAGTTTCTAAAACGTCGACGAGTGTTACCAGTCCGGTTGTTTGTTCGTTTCTACTGCGTTTGGATTTCATCGAATCTCGATTTGATAAAAAAAAAAAAAATCGTGAGAAACTTCATCAACGTCGATACGACGATTTAATGTGGCGAATCCATTGACCGTTTCCACGAGCTGGTTATTCAGCCGGTGGAATTGAAACGCAGATCGAGCGTGCTCGCGTGTGCGTGTACTGAGGGGCGATGCAATAGCCGCGTTGCGGTTCGCAGTTTGCCAAGGGTCCCGTGATTAAGTGAATTTGCGTTAGCGATTTTCATCACGATGGCCTTGGGAAATCTCCTCGCCGGTCAGATTAAACGGTCTCGGAAGGGTAAAGGAATATTAAAGGGATTAGGGCATGTACAAGAGCCTAACGAACTTCTCAGTGTTCCTCTCTTTATTCTACTGTAAAAATTCCGATATTTGCGACCATGCTATCACATTGCAATCATCGTGTGCTTGGCGTCGTAAGTGAAAATGGAAATACGAAGGCTGATAATCGTAAGGAAAAGGGGCAAGCGACTTGATACGCTGTATGTATCGAATTTCCATTTTACCGATTGAAACAGTAGATCGTAAGTGCTCGGATGAAGCTAGGGAGGGAAAGTAGCTCTTCCCATATCCACAGCTCAGTTCCTCGGGTTTTCTTGTAAACACGATCGCGTGTGCGCGCTCGCGGCTAGAATGGAACATTAATAATTCAATCCCGCGTTACTCCAGGCAAATGGAAACGCAGCCTTCTATATAGGCGATACCCGAACTACTTTCGATTATCTTTAAACCGGCACAGGATTTACTCTCCCATGCGTCATCGCAGCAACGAAGAAAAAAACAGATTGGTTTTCTTACTGAAGAAACTTTTATAGCTGGAAGCAGCAGAACAGGCAGCAGCTCTAACTTAGGTGTTTGACGGTCCTCGCGTTATCGTATTTCCAGGCAGAGGGATATTTTTTAACGAGGATAAAACTTTCCTTGTCTGGTGCAACGAGGAGGACCATCTCCGTCTGATATCGATGGAGAAAGGCGGCAACCTGTCATCCGTGTATGCGAGGCTTGTTAAAGCTGCCACCGAGGTCGGTAAGAAACTGAAGTTCTCGCGACACCGTCGTCTCGGGTATCTCACCTTCTGCCCGACCAACCTGGGAACCACCATCAGAGCCTCGGTTCATGCTAAATTCCCGAAACTGAGCGAAGATTTCCCCAGATTCGAAGAAATCGCGAACATGTACAATCTTCAGGTAAAAATCTTCTGATTTTCTCCCATACGGTTTTTTATCAAATATTCCAAATCGCGCTCATTATTATTATAGTAAATAAATATGGAAATAATTTCTAATATTTCAATTCTATTCATCAATAAATTGTAAAGTAGATATCAAATTATTATTATTATTATTATTATTATTATTATTATTATTATTATTATTATTAGTACAAATAAATAAGAAAATTTCTGCGCGTTGTCGAAACGTTAATGAAAGGCAGGGTGCAACAAGTACCGGCAGGCCCGCGTTGGGATCAATAATATATAGGTAATCGTACGTATGAAATATTTATATCCTTCGCGTTTGTTGACCGAACGTGGGAACGATGATGCTTATACAAATCCCGGGCGCATACAATATAAACTATAGTTATGAACGGGAACGTATAAACAGACGACTATGAATATTCTGCTTACGGTGAAAATATTTGAAGTAGATCTCCGCTGTTTGCGAAAGAAAAACCTATTGGGTAACTCGAGGAATGTGTACAGTTTTCAAACTTACACTCAATTTCCCACCATTCTTTTTTACTTTTGCTTTTTTTTTACACCTCTGGCTTTATTTAGTATCTCTATTGAATTTTGTTGTCACTACCGAGGCAACCCGTGCCCCGATTAAAACTGACGAAATATGTGGGACAGGAAAACATGGAATAGTGGAAAAAATGTTACGCAGTTTTTAACGACCAGCCGTTGCATCGTACAGTCTGTTGTGACGTGATTAAAATTTTTAGACTGAGTTACAAGCTGTTTCTTTGAAATTGTAACGTTTGATTAATAGATTTCCCGTGTATCCGGACTGTAACATCCTGCACCCTGCGTGAATACACCATTGCACCCTGTGCAATTACCAGCAGGCTTTATTCAGATAATTATTTATTTATTTTCAAGGGGATTTGTTTAAATCTAGGACAGACATTAACGTAATAAATTTGATCAAAGGCTGAATTCGCGCAAAATATTCCTTAATGGATCAAAGAATAATTTATTTCACATGACGAACCTTGATTCGACGTATTACGTTTACCAATCCCATTTTTAACAATTATTGTTACCATTAATAATGCTAATTTCAGCACGTAGGTAATTAAGCATGTAAATAAATAAACAATTTATCAACGGGGACAGCCTGTTCCACGTTTATTCTTTGCAAATGAGTTTTGAAATGCTGGAAAATATTCAATCGTAACGGTTATCATTCCATACGCATATTCAATGTTGCGCTTTGCTCATGCAATTAGCATCACATTTTCACAGGGAATTATGTGCCTGCATTAAATGATGCAAAACGGAAAAGTGATTGGTTACACCATTTGCTGTTAGAATCGTTTGCACACGATTATATAATTAAAAATAGTTGTACAATTTGGTAGATCAATAGTTGGATTCGTTTAATAGACTGTTCGGAGTTAATATTTAACTGACATTATTTATACGAGATAGTAAAATTAGATTGAGGATAAGTTTAATTTAATAAATTAGATTAAAGATCAGAATTTGATTTGTACATTCCTTCGACTGATTTACAATTCGTTTTGTTTAAATGTTTAAATTGGATAAATCGAAATATATTTGAACTCCAAGAGAGAAAGACGTTTTTAGTTTAAGTGGTGCGGGGCTGAATGGGGTCAGATTAAAACGGAGGAATTAATTATTCAGATAAGGGGTACGAGGGGCGAGCACTCCGAGAGCGAAGGAGGCGTATACGACATCAGCAACAAACGTCGGTTGGGCCTGACCGAGCGCGAGGTAGTTTCCGAGATGAGGAACGGCGTGCTCGAACTGATCAAACAAGAGAAACAACTGCAAGGGGAATAGCTACCGCGCCGCGATATCGCGTGTCCGCTCGAAGTCGATGCGAACGTGCCGGATGCAAAACCGTTTTTATCGATTTCCCTGCGAACCTACGGTTCAAATATAGATATACTTCTACCGTCCACGAGCCATCGGACATTTTCTCAAACGAAACTCTTGATTTTCCTCCAAATCTGTGGACAATTTATAATCCAATGTTCCTTAAGAATTTCAATAAATAATTGTTTAACAGAATTGCATAGCAGGGGGACCTATTGTGGCTGAGACACGTTAGGTCTCATGTTAGGACCTATGGAACCTAGCAGGCCCAAAGGACAATAGGTGCTGCTTTCAGAGACTACTTATTGCTGAAGAAGGTCGTCCTTTAAATCTACTGATCCTAACACAGGTCTCAGGTATCCATTTCAAGTGGTTTAGGTTAGTTTAAGTATCCACTTTAAATGGATACTAATAGTGTATTAGGATCGGCAGGTCCAAAAGACAACAAATGCTGCCTTCACTGTCGGAAACTCCTTGTTGCCAGAGGTGATCGTTCTTTAGGCCTGTGGACCCTATTAGTTCCTAACAGAGGCCATAAGTATCAATTTCAGTATTGTCCTTTGGGCCTGCTAATCCCAAAACAGGTCATAGCTACCCATTTCAATTGACTTAGCCACATTAAGACCCCCTGTCGTTTTCTTTTACCATTTAAACAAACACCTGCTTTCGACGCCTTGCACATTCCTATGCATCACACGATTATACTTCATATTTTCCAAGCATAAAATCCTTATTTAATTGCTAATTCTTCCAAAATCAGGAATTATTCTAAAATCGGTTATCGATTAAATTTCGCCATCCGGCGCCGCCGCCGCCAATATGTTTCTGTTACACCGAAGGTACGGTCCCCCCCTCCAACGTAGTTATCGACAAGTTCGAGTGGTGCTCGTCCATTTCGATGCTCGAAACGTCTGCAGCATTCTGGCCCTCGAGTACGCGGCAAAGAAATATCGATCTGTTATTAACTTCTGATTCCGTTACCCGCCCGGCCCCCGTTTATACCGTTACGTTATCCTTTATGGCCTCCCGGAACGACTCCGCCATTCGTTCTCCGGTAGTTTATTTCAGCACAAAGCGATTCGGTAATTAGGGCTCGGTTTTGCAGATTGGAAAATTCTGATACCGCCCATATAATATTAATAATAGTACAATGAAATTGGGTTAGGTTAAATTAATTTTGTACTAACGAAAAGTGCATAAATTAACCTAATCTAATAACCACCCTTTAAAACTGAATAATCTCCTGAAAATTGGAGCCAAGACTTTTTTTAGCAGTCGGGAGGATTATAATTTGCGCTGTATAATTTTTTAATTTACTCCAAGTCGTTTGGAATTTTTGATAAATCAATTTCTATCGACGAGAGTCGTCCTGGGGAAGCCGGTATCGATCAATCGGAGATTTTATTTAGTCGTAACTGGGATACAATGCGCAATAACGTTAACCCTGTGTGTGTACACCCGTTCTCTCCGGCAGTGTGTATTCACTGTGCCGCAATAAGCTACGTGGAAGCCATTTCAAGCAGCCGGAATCAAAAGAAGCGGCGCGCCGCGGATGCCCGTCTCCGGCACAGCTGCTAGAAAATGTACATACACATACGTCTATTTATATATGTGTACGTGTATACACGTACACGATTGCACGTTGGGGGACGGTAACCTCGCGGGACGTTACATTGACAACTTGTAGGCTTTATGACAGTCGATATTCACTTCCTCTAACTTACCGCGTCTAATATTACGTCGAAGAACAACGCGCCTCAGCCCTTAGAGCATTGCTCTATGCCACAGCCCGAACCTCGTATCGATTGTATCGAGCATGCAGGTTTTTGTATCGAGCATACAAAATTCATTTTCCATTCACGAATCACGTTGCCTCGTAATTCGCATTTTACGAAAGTGTCCATTACATTATTCCCAGCCGTCCTTTAATTAACCCTGCAGGCTAACGGGCTATCTTCCACGGTAAGTAGAACAGCTCCGATCTAAGTCAGACGGGTGAATGGCACGGGGCGGCAGACGAGCGGGCGGACGTTATCGTAGCTAAGGCAATACGAGAAGCACAATCGTTTCTACGCCTGTTAGCCTCGGAGTTGTCATTACCAACAGGATATCGCGAGGATGTGCCTCGGTCTCGGAAAACGTCTTGTTATCAGCAACGTCTGATCAACAGAGCTGTTCGTACGTTCTATACAAATTGAAACTGTTTGCATCGGACGTCACAAATATCCGTGTCAGTTCCTATTGATTCTAAGTCTGGTCGTTCCTTATCGAGTTAATCGTTTACATATTGACGTTCGTCGATTATGAATTTATAAAATGGTTGAAATAGAACAAACTCGATGAACTTCGGAAAGAATATACTAAAAGGCAATATCCGGTATTTGTTACGGGTCACCGTTACATATCAACGTTGCATTAAACTTGTAAACCTACTAGTGGGCAATATTTGAGTTACATATTTTAGAAGCCAAATTAAGGCGAAAACCAAATGACAAAATTACGTTTCGAACTTCATTAATTAGTTATTAATAAATAAAAATTGGGCGCTTTTGCGTCTGAATCAGGTAATTCGATTTGCGTCGTCGTATGACTGACAGCCTGATTCAGGCACAAAGGCGTTCAATTTTTAGTTATAATAACTAACTAATGAAGCTCGAAATCTCATTCTGTCACTCTTGATTTTTATCTTATTTTAGATCGCAGATTTCGATCCTCAAATATTACCGACTAATAAGTTTGCACCCTGTATTTTATTTTAGTACTTTGCATACTGCATGTTTTAGTATTTTTTATATTGTATCTATGTGTGACTTACAATAGTGCATATTGCAAAACGTATGGATGAGATGTTCCCAGGAGACCAAGGTAAAAAATCCTACTTAATATCCTAATAAATAATGAATGAGAATGGGATTTGACACCGTGGCACGCAACAGTGACACGACACGAAGGTATGCCACAAGTGGCAACAGGGCTTAATACGATCCCCTTGTTTCGGGTTCCAATTTAAAATGAACGTCGCGAGGACTCGTTCGTTGGTAGGAAGTACCCTGGTCCAGGTCTCATTAAATTATTCCACGACGTTACCAGCGATAAGTAATGCCAGCGGGCGGCCCGTTCCTCGAGACATTAAACAATTCCCCGTTCTAACCTTCGAGTGACCTTCAACTGACCTTTTCCTTGTATAAAGTAAATGTGAAATAGAATTGTTAACAGTAATTGGCAAAGTGGAACAGTGACGAACTGAATGAACGCCTGATAGAAAACGTGATACTAATACACGTTACTTGTTTCCCCCAAACCAGCACCGCAGTGCATACATGGTGAACGTTGCCTGGATACAAAGTAGCCGGCTACCACGTGCAATTACGTTGCCTTAATTGGAAGTGTCAAGTGTTTGCGCATCTCTACGGAATTATTGTTTACCCGGTAAATTAGTGTTCCCTGTTCACCCCGCGTTTCTTCTTAGCCGAAGGGTTGAAAAAGGTCCGAGGGAGATCGATAAGGGATGAATCTGGTTTCTTGGCCGGACGTTGAATCGTGATTTAATTAAAGAAATATTACAAAAACGAACGGCAGAACAGTTTATTTAATTAACAACGTTAACTTGTGTTACCCCCGAAATTATTTAATTGGATTAATTAAAAATAAATTAGTTGTATTAATAAACGCCTGTTTACTGTATACGATATATATATATATATTTCAAAGTGTAGAGGAATATAAGTTGATGGTGTCAAAACAAGGTGCGATCCAGCAAGTATATACGGGAAAAATGACGCTCGGGGTAACTCTCATAACCATTTTCCTTGTCAGGTTCAGAACACCCGGCACCGTCGCCCTCGACGTTACTGTTATATCTAGATTACACCGACAACGTTCACATATAGAATATTTTTATGGCGTCACAAGTAGCTGCTCTAAATAATGTTACGTCCCAACGCTGTGTGTATCAAAAAACAGACAAGCGTAGTAGATCCACGGACTCACTAAATACATATAATAACGATGATTATTCTTAATAATAATGAATAGTAATAATAGTATTATTATTTAACAATACATTCATTAATTCTAACAATTCCTATTGATTTTACTTAATGGTAACAAGAGAACGTCAAGCGGACAAGTTTAAATCATTGCGACTCATCGGTTCGTTACTGTTTCTTACAGGCCTTTAAAGCTCCTTTATTAAATTAAAAAGCAGGAACGATGAAAGAATGGCGAGCAATCTCGTCGTCACGTAAAACGCTTGCTGGAAAAACACCTTGAGACGTTTTTAATTAACGATGCCGTTATGATTGGACGGCACGATGCGACCCGGTGATTGTAATAAGCGTTTCCCATTACGAGCGTTACGATTTTTTCCTTCAATAACCGAGCCGCGCTCGGTGGTGTTAGAATTTAATTATTAGAATTCAATCAGGCGGAATGAATCGAAATCAACAAGTAATTGCATTCTGCAAATTGTTGAAGAAACGGGCTTCGAGGAAATGTACTTTTTAAACAATACAGTGTTCCTTTCAATGAAAGGAATTCAGTTTATTAGTATTTTGAACAATTTTCTACATTAAGAGCGAAGTTATTAACATTAAAACAATTTTCCTTCTAATTTTCATTTTCGCTTCTTCTCTTCACGAACCGAAAATTCCGTTTGGCCCACGCGTGAGCGGGAACACGACCGATAAGAGGAACAACCCGAGGACACAGAGGCAAAAGTGCTATCAACGACAAGCCGTTTCGATATTCCCTGGGAAACAAGAAAATAACGCGGAATGGCCGAGGGGAGAGAGAAAGACGGTGTATGCCGTTCCACTTACGGGTCGTCGATTCTCTTCCGTTTCGAAAACGAAATCCGTTCTATCCAGCAGCAACCGAGTTGGAGGGGGTGGGGGTGGGGGTCAGTAGTTCCGTTCTCCAAAAAAGGAATTCTTATAATGATTTCTTCAGAATTTTCGTTAAAATATTCATCAACCTTTCCTCTCTCTCTCTCTTTCTCTGCCATCTCTGCCTGTCCGTTTCAATTAACGCAGCATGTCGGATTTTTTGCCTCGACTCGAAGCAGTGGCTCCACCTTCGTCGCTTAATTGCGCGATCAAATCCTTAGCCCGGGAAGTAATGGCCTGGCAAATTGACCGAGTCGAAATTAACGCCTTCCTCCCTTGTCCCGTCTCTTCTGCTTCCCGTCGTGTTGTTAACGCTAATGAGATGACACCGTCGCGGTGGCGGGCGCCGTGCGTGTAAACAGTGGTTAACTGTAACGAAAAGACGAACAGGAATTGATACTGTTTTCGCGGTGGTCCCGCTAGTGCCACGGAATATCGATCACCCGAATCAGGGTGTCCTAGTTTAGGATCAAATTAATATTTGAGAAAGAAGTATCAAGGAAAAACTCATTAAAACAAATTACTAGTAAATTAATGAAAATAAGGAATTCATAATAATGCAGTATAAATTAAACCAGAAGCTTTTTTATGCATCACCGAGACAAGAAGTAAAAGTGGTTAAGAATGAAGTTGAAAACGATTTATTCAAACAAGTTTTATAGGCAGCAGGCGACGTTTGTAGAAAGCTGGAAGTAGTCGAGCTCAACGACAGCCGCGCCGGCGAGGCGGAGAGAGAATAATATTTATAAATTAAAATAGAAGCCTTTTTATGAATCACGGAAAGTGGAGGAATGATTGAGAGTGAAATAAAAAAGTGATTTACCTGGCGAACGAGTTTTATGGACAACTACTGGCGACGTTTAAAAGCTGTAAGTAGTCGAGCTCAACGATAGACGCGCCGGCAGTAATAACAGCAGCCGAACGAGATGAACTGCTGGTTTAATCGAAGATGCGCTGCTATTCCTCGCCGTTGCGTCTCCCTTTCCATTCTGCTGAGTTTCACCTTGCGATTGCCACACCTGAAACTTTTCTAATAGAGGCAATCATTTTTTTCGTTTCCCTTATTCCTATCTTCCCGGCGGCAATGTCTCCCGCGAAGAAAGTTTAACGAGAGTCTCTAGCTTATCCGACGGGGCCTCGCGAGCAAGTTTCACGGTATAAATTGGAAAGATAACTGAAATCCACCCCCGATTTCAACGCCCCGTGTGCCAACCCCTTCAACCCTTCCTTCATATTTCATATAAAGCTCCATATTTATCTGTTTTCACTAATGCATTGGTTTATCCATATTTTTCCTTAAGTGTAGGTGCAAAAAATAAATACAAGTGTTAATTACGAAGCTTGTAGATTAAATAGAAAATTATTATTCGACGAATTGACTATTTTCGATAAGTGAAAATTATATTGACTGTGACCGAACTTGGTTCATTAATTTATTCCAATCTGTCAGTTTGAAATATTCTGCTACTTCTAGAAAATTTTTCTCTTCTTACCAAACCGTGTCCTCATTTTTATCAGTACAAAGTTTTAAGAAAAATCTTAAAGTCCGGAATGTCGATGTCAACGATACTTCCCTTGAAAATATGAATCCACCGAAGTCCGTACGTACAGAGAAAAAGGTAAAAAGTTCCTGTTTGCCATCCCTTGAAACAGTAGCACGAAACTCCGATACCTCAGTTTTCATCGTGGCACGTATCGAATAAGAAAAATATTTCGAAATATTTCAAGTCGTATGTATACGAGCGGTTAATAAATAATAATTGGACGCAGTCTGGTATTTGAGAATAAATTGTTTGCTACCCGATTTATTTACTATCTCCAATCTGCATCCTCGTAGAACGACACAGATATGAAATTCGTTCGTTCAATATTTATAGATGAATTGTTTTACAAACGTTGTTTTAGTACTATCGATTTATCTACTTTATAATTACTAGCTTGTCCAGCATGACAAAAATAATTTCGCGTTTGTTCAACGAAACTCAAGTAAATATAACGAAATTTGCATTAATGAAACGTCACAATGGTTCAAGTTAAATATAAATCAAAGAGTGACTTGTTTTTAAAATGAACTGTCATACTTTTATATGAATTCAATTATTAAACTCCAGATTACTGTCAAAAACAAAAGTCGTAGAATGTGAAATAAATATTTAACGTGTGTTTCAATCATGAATCGAAATGGATGTATAACATTGATGGAATTGTGAAATCAGTGGCAGGGCTCGAGTGTCTCTCTAAGCAATCGCGAATGATTACATATTTCTGATAGCAAGAGTAGGTATGGCTCTCGAAATTGCAGGGAATTTCAGTTATAAGTAGACATAGAGTGTAGGCGGAATGAGCATTAGAGAGAGGAGGTCCTCGAGCATCTTATTCAGAATTCCAGTCCGGTACTAAATCCGTCAGAGTTCCACGAACGAGAAGTTTCACCGAAAATTTTCCCTCCCCCTTTGAATCAAACTTAAACCCAGCTGCCATTTCGCAGTGAAAAATATTCAATAGTCTCAATCATTTAAAACAATTAGTAAAACTTATTATTGATTTATTCTCTCCATTTTTTCATGCAATACTCCCTGTCCCCTCCATACAATTAAAAATTGTATTAACCTGCTACTGTAATTAGAAAAGAAAAACAGAAACGGGATGTATTATTTACGTCGCATCAGCCTGAAATATTCACGGCAGTTTAAAAAATATCGAACGGATGATCGATAAAGTCCATTAATCAGGAACTTGGGTAATACAAATAATCGCAATCAATCATGGAACCCGCGAGGAGTTTCTTACCACCCGAGGAGCGAAACTGGCAAACGAATAATCGTCGTGGAACGGTTTGTCATTCAGCCCGGGTGACAAGAAGTGCCGGCCGGTCGAAGTTTAATTAATATCAAGATGTATTGATTCATTAGACCGACGAACGGTGGGACGGATGCTATCGGATCGCGATTTACACGGTTAACATAATTCGCCGGGCAGACGTGTAACACACAGCGCTCGGTAAGAAAGTCTGGAGTGGATGATGAATGGATTAATTTTGAGAGGGGAAAGTTCGCGTCGTTACCGTCGGCGAGATCTTCGATATTTCTTTTTCAACGAATACGTAATCCAGAAAACGAGCGCTTAATCCCCCGGTAACGATAATCCAACTCGAAATCAATGATCACGTAGTTCCATTAAAACGTATCAGCAACGTAGCTTTTGTATCATTTTCTCGTATCCGTGTCATCAGTTTGTGTCGTCACCTGTGTCATTTGTATCATCTTCTCTTATTCCTGTCGTAATTGAGTTTGAGCAATCTGTATATCTATAATGCTCCTTTTTCATTGATATTGTTACGTGAAAAGCATTTCTGTTCTCTCTGTACATATGTACCATGTAATATAAGTCGTACACTGTTTTCCCGTGAGACTATCCGAACGGTCGTTTAAAATGATCCCCGCGTCATGGTATGGGGCATTGTCTGAGGAAATGGTTAACGAGCGTATCCGAACGAGAAAGAGGAAGCTATGGTGAAAGAGAGAGGGACTGAAAGGAAGCGACAACAATCGAGTGGAAGTCGACGCGATTCAGTTGGAAACACCTTTAGGAGGAAACACTTACGACAGAGAGCTAGGTATTGCAGGCTGCGGGTCGTCCCCGGTGGACAAAGAGCTGGTACACCGTCTTCGTAGAGTTCTCTAGGCGTGTTCCGATCGAGGGGCCCGTAATTGCACACCAGGGCCTCAACTCGATCCCCGAAACCGACGCCTATTGTACGCTTCCCTACCGACGCCCGTGCTGTCTCCGCTGCATCTCTCGTCGATTGCTCAGGTCTGGCTGTGTAAATTGCTCGGCCACAACCCACCTGGCTAATCGTCGACAACGCGAAAGGGATGTAAGACAGGTACCATCGTGCCGTGAAATTCACCAATCTGCAATCCGACGATCATAAATTTTATCGGATTATTTGGTAACGGACTTTAATTTCTTTAAATTATTCTTTGAATAAATATAATCAGAATCGATCGTCGACTCCTTTTGACTAGTCGAACGATACAGCCTTGCACCGATGTATAATTGAATCTCCGAAATTCGAGATCCATCAGTCGTGGTAAATAGGATTTTCATTAAGAGCGAGATTTCGATCCTGTCGAGCAAAGACAGATCTCCCTCTCTCTCTCTCTCTCTCTCTCTCTCTCTTTCTCTCTCTCTCTATACACAGCGAAATCCATTTGTCGTAGGTAACGACAGAGATTCTGGGAATCGTAAAGTTGGAGAAAATAGAAAGGAGGCTGCAGAGAAAGAGTTAGTGTAAACCTCCTGGTAAATTCAAACCCGAGTTCGCAGTGTCTACACCCTCTTGTCGCTCGATCGAATACACTTCCATTGACAAAGTAGAAGCTCCGATGTGTTTAGAACAAGTTTCGTACCGATCAATTGAACTTAGAGTATTGTACACTGGATGAGAGCGACAATACTTCTTAACCGCGTCGATATACAGCGTGGTTGCTGGTGGGAAAAATTTTAAGGGCTGATTCTGCAAATAAAAATAAAAGAATTGCGGCTATGTCATCTACGCAGCCATTAGCGATTAAAAATTAAGCTCTGATTCTCAAAGGCTGGCCTACCGCTAGGCACTATTTTTAATAAAAACTCGTTCCAAATAAACTAAGAAGAAACAAATCAAGCCTTCACTTCGACAAACAGGATATTCGATTTTAGCAGTTCTACGATCAAAAATTCAAGTCGGATTCGATTCCCAGAGGCGATCGAACGCCAGGTTCGACCAAAGAGAGTCTCTGTATGAAATCCATCCTGCTGGGCGTCGTCTATATGACATCCATCCATGAAGAAAAAAATATCGTCACGCTTACCAAAAAGGGGAGTAGCAAAAAACAGGAGAATCGAGAAAATATGAAGGATAAGGAGAGCGAGGGAGAAGCGCAATGGGGAAATACGATGCGGGCTCGCGCGCAGGAATAGTGTAGAGCTTACCCGAATTCAGCGGTATCGAAGTCTTCTACTTCCGAGTACCATGATTGGATATGAAACTGTATTCTCGAGCGGGGCGAGGTGTCTCTCATGGCGGTCAGATTGACCGCGTGCACGTTCTGCCACACACCGAACCGTTCTGCAAAATTTCATTCGTTCGTTAAACAATTTTTTAAACGAGAACTGCTAAAAACCGAAGGTGGCCTTTAAGAGCTACTGTTTCACTTTCATCGTTCCTTTCCCCCATTCACTCGCCCATATAATCTGCAGATTGAATGACGAATATTTAACATTCGACGAGCGTCGAGACAGACTTTACACGTAGCGCTGATTAAATCCATCGGGACGAGCAATCGATTCCGCGCTTTTCACGCACACGCCGTCCAAAACGCGAACGTGTATTGATTCGTTTCATGAAAATAGGGACACGTGTCCTGTCGCATTCGCGACTGTTTCCACGGTGTTTAATTTCGATGCTCATACTACCAGAAGAAAGGTATTTCACGGTTGAAACATAATTCGGAAGTTAATCGTGAATGCGAATGGACAGTCGGTTGGAAATTATTGTAGAAACTCTTTTTAAGCTCTCACTCAAGGCCACGGTTAAGCTTTTCATTTAGGCAACAGCTACCTTAGATCTTCAAAGCCGAGTCCTCCCGATCGCAAATTGGAACAATCGGTGAAGCAGAGTGGATGATTGAAATTGGTAAATAACAGGAGAAGGATGATGATGTATTATAAAATGGCAGAAACGCACGGGGCATCGATCGCGACTGGCTAGGTTTCGAAAATACCCGGTGGATATTGAAAAATGCTAGGGACCAGTAAAGGTCTATGAAAAATGGTATATATCCGTGAGAGTTACTTGCCAACGTCTCGGCACTGATCTTTCTCAAAGAGGTTGCACTGCACTACCCATCGCCTCGCGATATGAGCCAGTTCGTCGTCCCAGATCTGTCCCAACAAATATCGCTATCAGTCTGGCATACGAATGATTAACACGGTTTCCTGAAAACGATTCTGGGTATCGAGGATCGCATATCTCATGGCGAAACATGACACTCGTTTAACACTTTTGTTACAGCTTGTTACGATTAAACGTAGAGTAATCATTCGTATGAATGAATCGTATCAGTCTGGAATACAAATGATTAACACGATTGCCTGAAAACGATTCTGGATATGGAGGATCGCTTATCTCATGGCGAAACATGACACTCGTTTGACATTTTTGTTACAGCTTGCTACGATTAAACGTAGAGTAATCATTCGTATGACTGAATCGTGTCAGTCTGGAATATGAATGATTAACAAGGTTTCCTGATGGAGATACTGGATACCATGGATCGTTTGTTTCGTGGAGAAATGTGATGCTCGTGTAACATTTTTGTTACAGCTTGTTACGGTTAAAGGTAGAACGGTGATTTGTAGGAATGATTCGTACCAATTCCATCATGAATTTCGCTGGACGTTGCGGGCCCGGGTTTCCTTGCTGCTCTTCACCGTTCGCCACTCTGTTACGATAAAAATTATGCGTTTCCAGTATCGTCGCGATATCGTCAAGGCCCAGATCCTCGTGCTGGAGATTTAGGCATCTGGTGCCATCAGTGTCGTACTAAAGGATAGAATAATTTCTTTATTCTCCGACTATATTAACCATAGTATAATGAACTGTAGAATAGGATAAAATTTCACTGGCACGTATCCAAAAAATAATGGCTAGTAGATCAAATTTTCTAACAGTAATTCGGTTCAAGTTCGAACGTGTTCGCTTTATATCTGAACCGAACGAATCAGCGTCATCGGCTCGCAAATTTCGTACTCAATAAAAATAGCCTCTTTAAGCTTTTCGTACGAAGTACTATCGAATATAGTGGAAAGGCACTCGAACCAGCTACTTTCCTTAGGCAGAGCTTTGACATGCTGCTTCATCGAATCTGCTTTGATGTGTACCAGAGGTAGTAGTTCCTTTTTTCTTTTCTCCACCCTTGTGTCTTTCCATCTCACGGAGGTGATACATTTTCTAAAAGCTCCTTTCGCCTTGTCCCGAGCTTAGGAGAACTCAATTTCATTGTAGTTTAAACAAATTATTGATAAAATAAAGTTAACAACGAAGTTCAATCGTGAAATAATTTTTTTTTTATGAGCTTCGTTAGTTTAAATTTATTCAGGGTTTCGATTAAAATAAAGGAAGCTCGATGTTTAGAAAAGGATGAAACAGATTGCGTGATCGGCGTACGGTGAACCCGTTTTTTCCTCTCTATACGCTCGATCAACGTTAATAGAGGAGGCAGGTGAGAAGAAACCTTTCGATTAAATGCCATTAGGTCGATCGTTCTCTGTCGTTATCGCTAATTTCCCTTTAATCTCGGCTTTCGTGTGGGTTTTTAAATTCCCTGTGATTTCCTGTTCGATTATTTTTCGGAATTCCATGCCACGCCATGTTCCCCTGTTACGCTCGAAACGAATTTCCCATTGCAATCCGCTTTTATTTCTTGTAATAATACCGGATAGAAGTTTAAAAAGTCGAAGCCAATCGTGTTAGTAAGCCGTTACACTATTTCATTGTAGAAATATTGAGACTCTTGATTTGTCAATAAAACCAATCATTTTAAATAAGAAAATTATTCATCTACATTAGTTCGTCGATCAGATTTTTATACAGCACGAATAAATAAGAACGATTTATTTCTAGTGTATCTACACCGATTCGATTTTGAGACTGGCTATGTGTGCGAAGGCTCGTGTCCGCGGCCGCCAGACTGTCGCCTGGACTTCGTATTAGATTAAAATAAAAAAGAAAGACGTGTCAACGTCAAACTAACGCCGTGCCCCCAGCCTTAATAATTGAAATCTGCGTAACGTCGAAAATTAGCATACCGAGGATTAACGTAGGAAAAAAACCAGACTTCATATCCGCTGGATTCCCCGTGGTGGAAAATCCTCCGGGCTGGAAATGATACCTAGAATAGACGCATTGTGCGCGTGACACCGAGCTCTACAATAACGAGCAGCGTCGTTCGTACCGAATTTCCTGTTGCGCAAATTCTCGGCGAGCGATGGATTTTTATATTCCCAATACAGCAGCCACCTCGCTACCGTTCGCATTTATTATCACCACCTCCGAGTCGTTGTCCGCACGTATCGCCCGGGCGAGAAATAAAAATTCCCCGACGCGATACGCGGCTGCTAAAAGCGGAAATCGATCGGTGGGAACGGCAGCGGGCGATTCTCGCCAGCTACGCGGTAATTGAAGAGAATTCGATGAAATTAGCAACGGGAACGCCCCCACGACAGTCAAAGGGAATCGAACCCTTTCATAATTTTTTTAAAGCACCAGCAAATTTTTAAAAATGTTCGAAAATTTCTGCTTTTAAATTACACGAAATCGTGTGACGATCCAAAGAGCAGAAGCTGTTTTGTCTTTGCGTCAATTAAAAAATCGTACAGATTTAACCTATGATTCTTCATATTCGATCTGTGATGCAAATTCCGTGAAACGCAAATTAAGTGAAGGAAATGAGAAGTGAGCTAAAATTGCGATCAGCGATAAAACTATGAATCCTGTTAACTATTCGTAATTATTTCAACGGTGAGACGGGTCGATACGTACCGGAAACCGACACATGGTATGATTAGCACAGATGCGGCAGTACGGATTGTCCTGCCGCGGGGGCTGTCTTCGTCCGGGGGGTATTATCGTCCCCGGCAGGATGCAATCGCAGCATCCCGTTAGGAACAATAAGAAGCAGAACGAGATACGAACTGTCATATCAACGGGTCTTTCGTCGTTACTTTCAACCGGACCGAAAATTCGCCGCGACGTTTTATCTTTCGCGTTTCACCGCTGTCCGGGTAATCTCGCCGCCACCTTCAACCCGATGCTTCGAGCGATGTTCTCCGAATCGATTTTCCAATGAAACAGTGACAACCACGACTGGCCGTCGACGAGACGTAATATTTCTCGTACGAGAAATTCGGTTTCTTAAAGAGTGATCGAGCTGAAATAAACGGGACTCCCGTCTTTAGGAATGGAGAAACTTCGCTTTATGTTTCCACCTTTTATTGCCTAATGATTGATTTTATTTTGAGACAGCACGCAAGGTATAAAATAGAATTTTACAGTTCGCTTTGATATTTTATGAACCGTGAATGTCCAAATTTGATTCTCGAGATAAAAATTAACATTTTGAGTAAGCAAAAGCTGCTCCCTGCAAGGGCCACTAAATTCTGAATCGCAGAGGAACGAATTCAACTATCAAAGGCTGTTAAAAAATTTATAATTCTGCTTTATATCAAGTTATGTTGTCAGAGTAATTGCCTTGAACCATAATTATATATTTCGAGCGGAAAACACAACCTGTTTTACGTGCACTTGGAATAAGGTCGTTTCGTATGGGACGCATGTATGAGAATTTGAAATAAAACATGTTTCACAGCAGTTAACGCAGTGGTAGTCAAAACATGTGGGAGTCGGTGAATTATAAAAAGGTAATAAGTAGGCTACAGATAGTTATGTAGATTTTTATTTTTCACAAACGGAAATACAAAGAAGTGAAGCTACATCAGTGACTTCCTCCTCTAACCCTTTGAATATTATAGCGCATTTTTTATTAGTACGTTACTTTTGTTCGTTCATACGCGTTTCGTATAAAATTTATACATTCATATTTACTCTAAATGCATAAGCGTGAACGTACGACGATAGTAATAATGTTCTATAATTTATTTATAATTCATTTTGCAATGTTCATTACGAAAGTCGATTTCCTCTTCAAAACTGAAATGTACAATTGTTATTTTAATTTGAACTCAACAAAACGGTCTGCAATTAAAACTTAATAGAAACCGAGGAACGTACATAATTGCTTTGTCCTCATACTTTATGTAATTACGAGTGAAACTAGATATTTTTCATTCACCCTCTCTCCCTGCTCTGAGATTCAGTTGAATGACACAGTTTTTTAAGGTTCATTCAATCACAATTCGTTAAAATTTCATTGCAGTCGTACAACAGTTTGCGTTAATTGATTTAAAAGTTATCGGGATCGTTCCAAGGTATTTCATGGGGGCACAATGGAATTTGCGAACTTGCGAACATTCAGGCAATTATCCTACCTTGGTGATTTTTGCCCCCTGGCCACGGGGCGTGAACATGGGTGGAAGTTTTCGTTCGTATCGTTCCCCAGACGAGGGGAGGATTATCAACGGTACGCGTAGCGGTGCTGTTATAACGCGTAAACGGGCACCGACGACGCGACTGCCCGATTTCTACGGCAAGTTCCACGATTCCCGGATGTTCAGCACGTGTTTTCATTTCGTTATCCCGTCGACTCCTTCCCATATCATTACTGTTTCAATACGCGTGGGAGGTGGGAAAGTTTCACCAGCCTTATATATCTACTGCCCTCCCTATTTACCTTGCTTTCTTTCATAGTCCTCTTGGTACCATTGCTATGAAAATAATTGCTACATTATTGAAACGAATTGCTACATTGGAAAATCTGATTCCAGTTCTCATTTTTTCTGATCAATCTTTCATGGATTTGATGATTCAAATGAAGTGATTCTGATTTATAATAAAATAACTCCTCGTTACTTCGTTTTCCCACTACTATCCCTCTCTTATGCCCTGCTCGTAGTCTCCCATGCTCCCCACGCTTCCACAGTGCCCCCACAAACGGTAATTCTCATCACTATTCTCTTTACAATCCCCCAACTCCTACGATACTGCAACCCTGATCGTTGTACAAATGCTTAGAAACACAATCGATCTTTTCACTGTGTTGTGTCATGGTCCCCACACGTCAATCCACAGTGACTCCACAAACGGTAACTCCCCACTCTCCCTAAAATCCTCCAGATCCCTCGATCCTTGGACCGCAAACGTAACTCTCGAAGTTACCGTCCCCAAGTCCCCGGAGAACACGTTGCACCGAAGAATTTCGAATCTGAGTAGCTGGATAGTTTCCCGGGTACCTCCAGTTTCCTTAATACCTTCTGTAGAACGCAGACAAAAACAACGTGTCGTTTCGTGGGTCGAACGAGCAGGACTGCAGGCATGGCTGGTAGCTGTGGTGGCGCATAATATCGTAAAGTTTCGTTAAGGACTGTCCGGCGCGTTCTCCTCCCAAGCCAATATCGTGTTCATGTCCTTAATGCCGCGTGTGCTCCATGGCTCGAGCGGGTCCGTGGTGGGCGAGATCGCCTTATTCCGGTCAATCGATTCCGTCCTTCTTCGGCTGCCCTCCTCCATTTCCTTCGGCGATACCCTGTGTGCATGCATCGTGTGGAACAGAAACTATTAAATGAACGGTCAATCGGGTACGTGCTATCGCTATCTTACTCTCCCCCCTCTCTCTCTCTCTCTCTCTCTTTCTCTCTTTTTCATTGCTGGCACCGCAACTGCGAACATTTCGATTTTCGATCGGAATTCCGAGAGAGGGAATTTGGTGGAACATGTCTGATAAGATGCGTCCTTTTTTTGCTATCGCTTGTCTATTTCCGGTGCTGCGTTTTATGTGCTTCAACCCTGATTTGATTGGGACAGGGATAGTTGCGATTGGGCTGACAATTTTTACGCAGATTTAAATCGGATGGAATAGAGATTTATCTGGGCATTTTAATCAGCAATAGATGAATTTAAAACTGGTACTTTCTTAAGGGCTAACTCGCTAAGGCTCTTCCACTTTACCTGTTTTTGGCAGTCTTCGGGCGGCGCTTTTGCACTTTCCTTTTCTTAGAATCGCAGATGGGCCCATTTTGTTGAACTGGAGATTCGGAATTAATTTCAACAGAACTGCTCGGACTTTTCACTGACCCATTCGTCGGCTCTTCTTCCCTGGGACCATTGAACAGCGGCTGGTATGGAGGATTCGCGTCAACAGACGTGCAAGACGTCGACGATAGATCGTCATCGCCACGTTGGGATCGTCTACGCGTCGTATTGTACCTGTTGTTCGCTGATTTTATCCTACGTAAGCGAGCCTCCGTCCCTAGCAAATTGTCACCTGCGATGACACAATTAAAGTTTACGCGAAACTTGTTACAGTGCATTATATTTCGTATCGTATAATGATAAATAGCGAGGAGGAAGCATGATTCATAATAACCAGCGAAATCGTTGTCACTTGATTCGATGAAGTACTGTTTCTTAGTAACGGTGACTTGTTCGTCGACCGCAATCTTAGTCATTGTGAACTGTTCCAAGATGCTGACGTTTATTTTTGAACCGGTGGCGGTCCCATGTTCGAAGCCTGCCGCCGCGCGCTCGGCAATTCGCTGCAGCGTTGCAGGATCGGTTGCATTCTCGCAGGCGATCACGAGTTCCAAAAGCGGATCCTGGAAATCCTCGGACGTGCTCAAATCNGCGTTTTATGTGCTTCAACCCTGATTTGATTGGGACAGGGATAGTTGCGATTGGGCTGACAATTTTTACGCAGATTTAAATCGGATGGAATAGAGATTTATCTGGGCATTTTAATCAGCAATGGACGAATTTAACACTGGTACTTTCTTAAGGGCTAACATATCTTCTCTAACGTCTGAGCCTCACTAAAGCTCTTCCACTTTACCTGTTTTTGGCAGTCTTCGGGCGGCGCTTTTGCACTTTCCTTTTCTTAGAATCGCAGATGGGCCCATTTTGTTGAACTGGAGATTCGGAATTAATTTCAACAGAACTGCTCGGACTTTTCACTGACCCATTCGTCGGCTCTTCTTCCCTGGGACCATTGAACAGCGGCTGGTATGGAGGATTCGCGTCAACAGACGTGCAAGACGTCGACGATAGATCGTCATCGCCACGTTGGGATCGTCTACGCGTCGTATTGTACCTGTTGTTCGCTGATTTTATCCTACGTAAGCGAGCCTCCGTCCCTAGCAAATTGTCACCTGCGATGACACAATTAAAGTTTACGCGAAACTTGTTACAGTGCATTATATTTCGTATCGTATAATGATAAATAGCGAGGAGGAAGCATGATTCATAATAACCAGCGAAATCGTTGTCACTTGATTCGATGAAGTACTGTTTCTTAGTAACGGTGACTTGTTCGTCGACCGCAATCTTAGTCATTGTGAACTGTTCCAAGATGCTGACGTTTATTTTTGAACCGGTGGCGGTCCCATGTTCGAAGCCTGCCGCCGCGCGCTCGGCAATTCGCTGCAGCGTTGCAGGATCGGTTGCATTCTCGCAGGCGATCACGAGTTCCAAAAGCGGATCCTGGAAATCCTCGGACGTGCTCAAATCTGGAACGAACGAATGTTTTGAAATTTTTGTTTACACGAATTTGAAGAAAAACGTTTTAAAAATTTCCAGGTAAAATCGAACTTGCAGATCATTCAAAGCGGAGCTCTCCATTTATATTTGTCTAGAAAATATATTCCCTTGCCGGAGACCGAAATTACAGGTCGGATCAGAGTTTTATTACGTCTACATTGATTCCATCGGGTCGGTTCGAAATCAAAATGGCTTTGAGGTCGTAGCCGGAGGCAGTACGTGTCTTATGCAAATAGACTACATTGTGGATGTATAAGTGATGCCTCTCTGTAGCTTTCATTATTTTAATGCGCAGACTCGTTTCCCAACTTTTATTAACGTCCTTCCGTGCAGCACACACACACACACACACACATCGCAGAAACCTCCGCGTAATAAAAGTTGGCAAAGCTGCGTTAAATCCTGACGAATGCGAATTATTTTTCGGTAGCTAAAAATGGGAAATGCTTGTTGTTCACCGATGCCTGAAACAGTCGGCATTTTGTTTCGCCTCTCGTGACCGGAAACGGGATCAACGACGACAACATTCAAACAACATTGAAAATATCTATTCAAAATGAACGTGCCTATGTACGTTCGTGTAGGGGAACATTTTTAAAACGTATGCCAGTTTCATTGATAAGTTAGATAATTCTGTAATCAGAAACGTTGTTGTTTCTATCAGAAAACTGTACGTTTTTTATTTGTTGGATGAATCCGTTTAATTCCGCTAAATTGATTTTATTCTTTTATTTTTAGAATAATTTTTTTAATTGATTGTTATTAAAATTTATTCAATTGATTATTATTCTTCTATTATCAGAAATAAATACGAATTTTTAGGAAATTTACGAATAATTAGGAAAATGATTTTCACTTACGAGTAGCGTTCTTCAAGTTCATCTTCTGAACATCCAACTGGCTTGGTTCTTTGTTCACTTCACGATTGTTCGTAGGCTTCGATATACTTTCTGTATCAAGCTTCTTTGTTTCTACGTTTGGTGTCTTCTTCTGATCATTCGGATCGTTGCTGGTAGCCTTGGGGTTTGATTGCTTTGGGTCTACGTTGGATGGGATTTTTTCAGTAGCGCTGGACAAGTCTAGGTCGTGGGCGAAGGTCATAACGTCCAACGCTGCGGACAACGCGTTCCCGAAACCAGCAGTCACAGCCGAAGTCTCGGTTCCTCCTGTATTTGGACTGCGGGAATGAAACATCGTTTGAAAGATTCGCTTCGGAATTTTGCGAACATTTTATTTTTAGACTTTGAATTTAGATAAAGAAAGGCGCTTGTGTCGTTCCTATGAAAATTGTGTCCTGTCTGTTATTTCAAAAACTTAAGGAACTCCGATTAAAATTCTCGATGATACAAAAAGATATAGAATTTAAAAAACGAATGATGATTAAATCGTCAATGATATTCCCATGGTACAAATTGAATTCTGTACGAGAATACGTTATTATTCAAATGAAACAATGATTTCGTCTATTGGCTAATGGATCGATCCGATCAGGCTTGCAGCTGTTAATTGTTCAGAATCCTCGGTATTTTGTCCCGCGGTCCCTAAATTCCCAATATTGTCTTCCGTGACACTGAAACCATTAACGCGGGCGCTACAAATTCCACTGTCCTTAGCACCGGGTATCATGACAGAGGGATTTGCAATGATAGGTTGGCTGAGCTTTGCGATCGCCCCTACCGGAACTACGACCAGCCCCAAAATTTGCTGAACAACGGCCAATATTGGCTGCCGTGACATTTGCCGACGTTAATATCCCATCGGCGATCGTAACTTCTGTGCCTTCCGCGTTAATACTGCTCCAAGGACACGTTCCATCGGTGATAATCGTAAGCCGATAGAATCGCATCTCAAGCAAGCTTCATATGTTGCGCGTCGCATCGCATACGTTACTACTTGTATCGTATTCTTGTAACGTATCGATGCTGCGTATCATTATGAATGGGCAATTCTTCGCGATTGATTTCTCTGCTTCTATCGTCGATAAAAGCTACTTTCTTCCGTACTACTATTTCTCTTTTATGTCTTACTCTACAGAATCCCCATAGCTGTTTAAATCGTAAGGAATGCATGGGGAATTTGGATAAATCTTACCTTATTTTGACTGGAGTTGAAAACGAGGCACGACCCCACATTATTCGTCGCAGATCCTCCCCAGTAATTCCGCGTTTCTTCAATTCGTTTATCGTCACTTTGCCAACGCGCTGAGAACATTAAACGCACGCACACATTAGAATGGGATAATAAAGGACCGATAAACCAGCAAATTCTCATTTCACAAATCCTTAATAGCTTGAGGAAAATTACGCGTCACGAATGTGTTACAAGTCTGTTACAATTGTGTTACGAATTAGTCGAAGCAGAACTTGGAATTCACATGAAATGGCGAATGAGCAAATTAAAGAGTCATTACCTTCCAGTTGGCCACCGCGCCTTTACGCTGCTTGGCCTTGGTTTTCGATTTGCATTTAATGACCAAGACGCCGCGCTGCTCGCAGGCGGGATTGTTCGGATCATCTCCCGGGCCGAGTTTGATGCTGTACTCCTGCAGATAATTCTGCGCGTCCTTCTGCGACACTGCCCGCTCCAGAGAAACCACGATCTTCGCCCACTGGCACAGATTAAATCGTCGGAATTAATCAATCCTCGATTAATCATTAACCAATCAATCAACATTTTTTTTTTTAATCTTCCGTGAAATTGATTACAATATAATACCTCGCGCAAATATTCGCGAGTATTGAATGCAGACAGATATGTCTAACAATATTTATTCAAATTGCTTAACGAATCTCAATCACCGATGCAATTCGATGTTAAACAAACGACAAGGTAAACGTGTACGCCTATTGCTTCTCGAGGCACGTTGGAATTAGCTAATTAATTATAACATCGGGCAAACATTTACCTGTTTCACAAACTCCTTCTCGCTCTGCTCGATCACGTGCGCGTAAGTGTTGCCCATCATCGCGATGAGCATGTTGAGTAATAGAATTGGTACCAGAACCATGAATATGGCGAACACCATCTTCGACAGATTCGGGTAGGTCGTGTAGCTTAGATCGGCGTACTGCGGAATTGCAAATACGAGAGATTGACTATAGTTAACAATTAAAATTGTTTAAATCATTGGGAGAAATTTCAATTAGTATTTTAATTATTAATTAAAGTATACTAGATTTATTGATTGAAATTTTAAAAATGGAATCGACAATATAATTAGGACGTGAGTATAGGTCTTTCATTCAATTTAATACCAACTAGACATTAACATTGAATTTCTAATTCAGGTTTGACTAATCAACAATTAAAATTGTTTTAATTATCCTGATTGGAAGAAATTCGAATTGTAATTGCAATTACTAATTAAAGAATATTTAAATTGTTGATTGAAGTTTAACTAAATTAGAATTGATAATAATCAAGAAGTGAAAGTAAACCTTTAATTTAATTGAATATAAACTAGAAATGAGTGTCGTATATTTAATCCAATTTTGATTACTTAAGAATTAAAATTGTTTAATTAGTTCCAACAAAAGAGAGAATAAAATTAAGATTTCTGTTCTCTCCTGGATCGAAGCGTTTCGCGAATAACGTTCTCCCGCGAGGAGTGGCGTAATCGATTCGTTAATTACGCCAGAGACGTACGAGGCTCCTCGGGTAAAATAGATCGTTGCGCGTTATTTTCTATCGGCTCGGATCGTTGAATGTAATTCAATTAGCCAGCGAATACAGCGGCCGTATCGAATTGTCTTGATATTTCATCGGTAAAAATTCGATTAATTGAAACGCGCGAAACCGCGCCGCGCCGCGCCAATTTTTCCCCAGTGCAACGCAACGCCCCGATTCCCGATCGCTAGTTCTGTATGAATCCCCCGTTCCCCTCGCCGGCCCCGGGTCCCTCGCGCAATTTTACACGCCCCGCTAATTGCCCCGGCGTTACATGAACCATTTTTAACTTTCTCTACTCTCGTATATACCGATTTAGTTGACGATGGTTTGAATGAATGGATGTGTTCAATCATTTCTGTTTTCTTTTAATCCTCACAGTTCTCAGTTAGGAAAAACAAAACAGATTTTCGAATCTTGGGCAACAAAATAAATTATTTGAAAATTACTCCATTTATATTTGTTATACAATTTGTTTGCGAGTTGCGTTCAAAGTATTGCTCCTTCCAAACACACACACACGTGGTTAAAAAAAAGAAGTTTCAGTCGTAGTAGTAGAAGAGAATACTTAAGGATGTATAGGCTATACACTTAAACAATGCTAGCATGTTGAATTTGTCATTATAGATTCCTATTA